AGATTTCTTGCTTCTGCCACAAATTCCCCCAGCTGTGAGCCTTCCAACCTTCTAAGTATTCCTTTATATGTGGTTCAGAGTTCTGGGACCAGCCCCTGAGCCTGCTTGGTCGGGTATTCTGTGTTGTTGTTGGAAGAGCTCTCTACTACACGTCCAACCGATCCGCCATCTTGTTTGTTCTGTCCCATCTTCTTTTGATGCTTTCTGCATCATTCAATATTTTGCCCAAAGAGTCATTCAATATTGCAAGTCAAGGCTTGAATTTTTCCTTCAGGTCTTTCAACTTGAGAAATGCTGAGTGTATTCTTTTCCCTTTTGGTTTGCTAACTGTAGTTCTTTGCATATTTCATTATAATACTTTGTCTTGTCAAGCTGCCCTTTGAAATTTTCTGTTCATCTCATTGACTTCCTCATTTTTCCATTCATTTTAGCATGTCTACACTGGAGAGGAAGTTTCAGAGTCTCCTCCTACATCCATTTTAGTCTTTTCTTCCTTTCCTGTTTTTTCAATGACCTTTTGCTTTCCTCCTATATGATGTTCTTAATGTCATCCCACAGCTCTTCTGGTCTTCGGTCATTAGTGTGTAATACATCGAATCTGTCCTTAAGATAGTTTATATATTCAGATAGGGTATGTCCAAGGTCATATTTTGGCTCTTGGAACTTTTAACAAAAGTTTTTATTATGAACTGAGTGAAGATTAACAGGGCAGATGATCAGTTTTACATTCAACACATCATACTTCATTTCACTGAAATAATTACAATCCCCTCCATACACCATCAGTTAACAGTTTTTACCTCTATTCCCTTTTTTTTCTTATGTAAACAGACAAAAAAAAAAAAAAAAAAACATATTCATTTAAATGTCCAAAGGGCACATTTTGCAAATCAGCCTCCTGCCCACAGGCACACAGCCTTTCTCAGTCCAAGAGCCTAGAGTCCTCAGCTACTCAATTTCTCTATGTCATTGCCTCTGCCACCGTCATTGCTGTCACTGCTTTTTTGGTTAGCATCTTACGCTCTACTCATGCTCTTCCTTCTTGATGGTCCTAGGGTCCTCTCTGTTCCTGTTAATGAAAGATTAACTACCCCTCCCCACTTTTAGTTACACATCTGCATTTACATTTGGGACAATCACAATTAGTCCTATTAACAATTACACACAATTGAATCATAAAATCCTATCACCATTAAACCCATCCCCTTTCACCATATCCGTACGGAAAAGAGGAAAGCTGTTCAGTGGGGATTATACTTTACCTGCTCATTCTGAAACTAAGCACACTCATGAAAGCTTGGAAGCCAGTCACTTTGTGCCTTTATTGTTGTTAAGTGCTGTCAAGTCGATTCCGACCCATAGCGACCCGGTAAGGAGAAACCTCGTGAGCTTGAACCACCAACCTTGTAGTTCAAATGAATTTGCAGTCTGATGCATTAGCCCACAGTGCCTTGTGCCTTTATAGTCCCCCATTTTTTGATAGCCAATGTCTAAGTTGACTGTTCCTATCAACACTACACTGAGGAGACAAGCTTGATCCTTGATATGAAGAATTCTTTCCTTTCAGTTAGAATTTTAAGCAACTGCATCCATAAGCAAAGGTCCAGTTCATCAAATTGCAGCAATTTATGCTTGCTCCCAGTATCAAACCTCTTTATCTTCATCTGGTCAAGTTCTGGTCAGCTAGCCAAGCTAGGCCAAATGGGTACGATCTGCCAATTTGGAAGTTCTTGCATGCGTCCCCCTACGTCAGACCAGCTGGCTGTTTTCACTCTCAGCTCTCACCCACAGTGGCTAGGCCAGTCAGTGTCCATGGGCTCTCTTCCTAAACTTCAGACAAGCCAGTCCTTCCTCTTCTCTGTCTCACGTCAAGGTCAATAGGTGTCAATGAACATGGCCAAACTCAGCCCACGTCTCCATTGATGCATTTCCCCCACTTCCACTCACAATTAGAGCAGGTGGTCACCAGC